GCAGTCCAAGATAGAGAAAATGCCCGAATAACTCTTGAAAGCAATCCTACAACAGGAAACAAAATTAACTACAAAAAAGCCTCAGCTAAGGTCAAACAGACAACCCTCTTAGCCAAAAGAAACAAATGGAACACCACAGTTGCAGTTCTTGACCTACGTAGAAACGGAGCCAAAGCATGGTCACTTCTCTCCAACTTGTGTGGAGAAAAGCGCCGAAACAACCCAAAACCCATGGACACAGAAGAAGGCACCATCGTAGAAGACCAAAACCCATGGACACAGAAGAAGGCACCATCGTAGAAGACCAAAACCCATGGACACAGAGGAAGGCACCATCGTAGAAGACCAGAACCCATGGACACAGAAGAAGGCACCATCGTAGAAGACCAAAAAAAGGCAGAAACCTTCAACAAGTTCTTTGCTTCTATAAACAAAGCTAAACCCCACACTGACCAACTTAGAGACTGTCTGAAAAGACTGAACGAGAAAGAGCATGCGCCAAATGCAAGCATCTCTCTCTTTGAAGATGACTTCACACTCACTGAGCTCAACAGGGCAATGAAGAAACTGAAGCCCCGCAAATCCCCAGGACCAGATAAGATTCACAATGAAATGCTTGTCAACCTCAGTCCCGTTGGTAAGGGTTATATTCTCCAGCTGATCAACAAGACGTGGAATGAAAACACCATCCCCAGAGCATGGAAAAACGACATCATCACACCCATTCTCAATAAAGGAAAACCTGCTGAAGAAATGAAAAACTATCGACCCATTTCACTCACCTCATGCATCGGGAAATTGGCAGAGAGAATGGTCAACCACCGCCTATACTGGTGGTTGGAAACAACCGGTGCCCTGGACAGCAACCAAGCAGGATTTCGTGCGGGCCAACGAACAGATGACCAGCTCTTCAGGCTCAGTCAGAAAGTCCTTGATGGCTTCCAGGAAAAGAAGCACACAGTTGCAGTATTCGTTGATCTCCAGCAAGCATACGACAGGGTATGGAGATGACACAGACAGGAATCCACGGGAAACTCTACAGATGGGTGAAGACCTTCCTTACAGACAGGACAATCCAGACCAGGATTAACAATGGTGTGTCATCCAAAGCTGTACTGGAGGAGGGCCTACCCCAGGGTTCCTCTCTGAGCTGCACACTTTTCCTTGTTTTCATCAACGACCTGCCTGAGACACTGAAATCAGAGAAGGCCCTATATGCCGACGACCTAGCCACCTGACATACAAGTAAACAAGCTGGCATCAGTGCATGGCTTATAAATGAGGATCTAGATAGATTCAACAACTACTGCTGCAAGTGGAAACTAAAAGCAAATTGTACCAAGACAATCTACACCGTCTTTACAAAAAGCCACAAAGTTGCAAAGCAAAATCTCACCATCTTACTTGCAGGAAACAAACTAGAAAAAGTTGAAAACCCGACCTACCTTGGGATCGAGCTGGACAGACAGTTTTCATGCAAAAACCATATCTGGAACCTGAAGACGAAGGCCAACAAGAGACTTAACCTTCTCAGACGACTGGCTAGCACTTCATGGGGAGCGGACAAGGATGCACTCAGACAGCTATATGTTGGCTATGTACGATCTGCCATGGAATATAACCTAACCTTACAGACAATCTGCAGCAAACCAACTCAGAGGTCTCTTGACAAAATTCAAAATCAAGCTGTACGATTTATCTCCGGAGCTTTGAGATCCACTCCAACTGCAGCTTGTGAAACCCATACGAACCTGGAACCCTTGGACTTGCGGAGAGAGGCAGCAGTTGTAGAGATGAGTGAGCGCTACAGAAGACTGGAGAAAAACCACCCAAACAGGAAAATAATTGAACAGAGACAACCAAAGAAACGAATTCTTGGAAGATCAATACTTGACACAGCCACTGAACTAGCAGAAAAACACCATCTTCCATGTAACAGAGAAATGCTGAAACCTTTAAGACCAGAACTCCCCCCAAACACTAACATCAAGAATGCCAACATCAAAACCTCCCTCATAAAAGAGACAGTGAAAAAGGAATGTGACCCAGTAGAACTGAAGACAACAGCTCTGAAGACAATTGACTCCTACCCTAGTGATTCAATTCATATTTATACAGACGGGTCAGCCTTCAAGGGAACTATAAACGCAGGCTTTGGGGTAAGAACTGAACATCCTGACAAAACATGTGAAGAGCTATTTGACGCATGTGGTACTTCTTGTACAAATTACGAGGCTGAGGCAATCGCCATTGAAGCAGCAATCCTCCACCTGACCAACATTTTCATAATACATCCAAACAAAATCAAGAACACCATAATCTTCACAGACGGAAAGTCAGTACTCCAAGCCTTGGAAAACAAGAATTTCGAAAGCCCAGCCTGCCTATCCGTGGCTCAAACAATCAATACGTTCATACAGACCTATGCCGTCGACCTGACACTACAGTGGACAGCTGGCCACAGCAACATCCTAGGAAACGACAGAGCAGACACCCTTGCCAAGAAGGGAGCAACACAAACACAACCACACAACCCAGTATCACAACAGACAGCCAAGAACATCATCAAATGCAACACCAGGGAACAGTGGCTGAATGGATGGGCAATGGGCAAAACTGGAAGAACTGTATTTGCACACATGACAGCCCCCAACTCTAAAGATGCAATAAATTCCCTGAGTAGAAAAGAACAAGTCACAATATTTCGCCTGCGAACACAACACATACCACTAAATTCCTACCTTAATAGGATCCGCAAGGATACCCCACCCGACTGTCCGTTGTGCGACTGCCAGGATGAAACGGTACCACACCACCTCTTTAACTGCCCAGCACTTTGTGATCTGCGTAGCACCTACCTACCTGCCTCCCCAGACATCGGAAACACTCTATACAGCGACAAAGCACAGCTGATTAAAACCTGTCAATTCTTTGCCATATCGACAGACCGAAGGGCTAGAACCCAAATGGCCGCTGGATCGGAAAAGTAAAGTAAAAGTAAAGATGTATCAAGTATGTTTGTATGTCTGTGCCAGTATATTTATCTGTCCCCGCGGTTTTATGCAAAACATTCTGAAATTATGATGCAAACTAAGCCCAAAAAAGTGAAATTATGCGATTCTGTTAATTTTAACAAAGAATGAAAAAGGAAAATAATCAGAAATTATGAACAAAATCATCAAATTTTGCTAAATTATACGGAGTGAACCCCCCCAGGCACAGATTTATGCACATAAATGTCCCATGTGTGTGTGTGTGACCATGACATAGAAGAAAGGTAGAGTGACTTACACAGAAGTACAGTCCAACCTGCTCTAACAACCACCTATCCAAGACAAACCTGTACAAACAACCACTTCCCACCTTGTGTTCTCTTATATATATATGTAATTATAATAATGACCCTGTCTTAGACGTCTGTTTGGTGCTCATGACCTTTTATGCAGTTGCAAGCGCCGTAAAACCTCTACTAAAACATAAAACCAAGACGTGTATCGGTCTAAGACAACCAGTTTTTTCCTTGAAAATAGGTCGCCGTCTTAGACAGTTTGAAAAAAAAAATTTATGAGTATATTCAAGTATATATTTTTATAGTAAGGTGCAGCTGAGCACAGATAACATGTACTCAAAAATTGAAATTTATTCTCAGTCGTGTTAAATTCAAACTGCCCTTAGATAAACACCCGAGGCGGTGCTACCGACTGAAGTGTCTTTAAGCCATTCCCAAAGGGAGGACATTAACATGCACAGTAGAATTGTAAATTCTGATTTATCAATGTCATGCTCATAATTGCGCTTGAACTGCAACAGGGAACTGCTGCTTTTTCTTTCCTAATCCTTACTATAATATCTATCATCATTTTCCTCTACTTCTTTTGTATGATTGTCACACTCTCGTGACCCGCTATTTCCGGGGTGCCTTGATAGTCAAAGCAGACTTTGTGCTGTTAAAGCTTGAGAGGTGAGCAGAGTAAGCCTGATCCCTTGTAAGGACTTCTCTGTTGATTATAATATCCACCCCTTGCTGCTCATATATGACCTTTATGCAGTTGCGAGCGCCGTAAAACCTCCACTTTTATTAAACAACTAGCCCTATGCAAATGATGATGGAAAACAGCACCCGAATCATCACCGAGAATGACAGGTTACACGGGCCCACGCAGGCTTGTCCCCACACAAAGTGATCCACACACTGCTGGAACTGAGACGCGTCATTGTAGCACTCATTAGATCTACAGGGGAGAAGGAAAGCTATGGAGGAGCAAATATATATGTGCAACTATACATGACGGCCGAAAATAGCCATCGATCTATTGAACGGCGTGACGCCGGAGAATAGCCACTTGTCACTTGCTTTTTAAAAAAAAATGTAGCCTGGGCCTAGATCTAATGATATCTCTAGAATCTAGATCTAGATCTAGATATATCTAGATCTAGTCTAGATCTAGAACTAGAGAATTTAGATCAATAGATGTAGATTTTTTAGTCTAGGAAGTTCCAGTTTTTCAGGCACAAACTAGAATCTAGAGTCTAGATATATCTAGATTTAGATCTAGATCTAGAATCTAGATCTAGATCTAGATATCTAGATCTAGATCTATATCCAGAATCTAGATCTATATCTAGATCTAGATCTAGAGTCTAGATCTAGATTTCTATATCTAGAGTCTAGATCTAGAAAAATCTAGTCTAGATAGATATTAGATTTCTTAGTCAAAAAATAAAAAGCATTTATGTCACAGATCAGCCTTTTTTTTAACTCACGAATCATGAGTCATGGGTGATGACTGTTGGTGACACAAACAAACCAACTCACTTGCGAACTCTTGCATTTCATTCAATTTCATAACAATACAAGTGTAACAAAGTGGGCATCATTTTTTTGGTCCAAGATATCTTTTAAAATCTTGAAATCAGCCTCTGTTAGAACAAGACCTAGATTCTAGACTAGAAACCTTTAGATCTACCTTTCACTAAACTAGATCTAGATATCTACTTACCACACATCCCTGCCACCAACTGATAGATCTAGGCCTCGAGAGTCGATGATCCTCCTGCTAGTTTTCCAAGTTCTTGACACGAAATCGTTTACCTCGAGTCGTTTCTTCGTTTCGAGGCATAAATGAGTAAGTTTTTAAGGGTTTAGATGTTTCTAAAAACATCTAGAATCTAGGCAAAATTATTTCGTAGCACGAAACAATACTCAGCAGAGTTGCTCGGGGAAATAATAATAATAGACTCTATAAAGCTTTTTCGAACAAATAAATTACTAAAACGGCTAGATCTGGATCTATTCGTGCTGGTTTCATGATCATGTACACTTTAGGAAAGTAATACAGGGGACAATTTCTTTGGCGTTGTTGCTGTTGAGATTTGTAGATCTAGATCTATATAAAATATGACCTTTGGTTAAAGACAAAAAAAAAAAAAAAGAAAAGACAAAAAGAAGCTAAGAAGACGAAACGCGCT